TATATATATATATATATATATGTTTAACATTCATTGACATTTTAGGGTCAAGGTTAGGGTCAAAGGTTAGGGTCAAAAGTTTGGAATAGTTTTTGAGCACCCAATTAGCATGTTAAATGATTTCTGAATGAAACTAAAGACTGGGATAATGGCTGCTGAATATTCTGCTTTGCCATCACAGGAATAAATGACTTTTTAACATTTGAAAACAGCTTAAATTATGATACGATTTCACAACATTACTGTTTTAGTGTATTTTAGTAAAGCAGCCTTTGTGAGCATGAGACTTCTTTAAAAAAAAAACACAAGAACAACAAATCTGAATTATTCCAAACGTTTGACCCTACACTCTAAAAAATGCTGGGTTGTTTCAACCCAACTTTGGGTCAAATATGGACTAACCCAACTGTTGGGTTACATTTTTACATTACATTTTTAACCCAAAAGTTGGGTTAGTCCATATTTGACCCAAAGTTGGGTTGAAACAACCCAGCATTTTTTAGAGTGTAACCTTGACCCTAAAATGTCAATGAATGTTAGACAGGTAGGGTTTGTTTTGTAAGGTTATTGTGGTTTTGTATTTCGTGCCATTACTTTATTCTACAAATGATTGGATGAGTGGAAAAGTCACATGAATGAAATAGATGAATATATGCAATAATATATATTTTTTTCTGCCAACATTCCATGTATTTTCAGCAGTGTGTATTGCATAGCAATTAAAGTGAGAGCTATCTTAAAGATGTTCACAAGCTAAGCGAGACTAATTATCAATTAGTCAGTTCAACAGTGATACAACAGGGTATGACAGGGCAAGAGTCTTTGTTCAGTAAGTGGATATAAATGTAATCCTGTGATTAGAAGACAGGCCTGCAGGAAACCCCTGCTGATAACCAATCTATCAATTGCATTGTTGAGGTTTAAGCACATAAAGTCAATCAAAAATGGACAAATCACATACAGAGAGTTTCCTTGGGCCACATCCCAGTTAACAAAAATATATTCTAAGAACGGTTTGCTAACGATTACATAAAGTTATATATACAGCATATAAAAAAAAAAACGTTGTTTGTGAATGTTCTCCATCCAGTTTTTTTTTTTTAATGTTTTTTAAAAGTTCTGATGTTCCCTGATAGCTGGGAACACACTAATAGGATTTTAATAAAATCATCCATTACATGTTGATTATGAGTGACAGTTAAAAGGACTAGCTACTTCCTGGGCTTGAGAAAGAATGAGCGCTTCATTACACAGATCCACTCTCACACGTACGCACAACCCTTGTGCACATTGCCTGTGGTCATTTCCACCATGTGACATGACCCTTCCTTGCTTTGCTTGGTTTTGCTGAGCCTCTGCCCTCACCCAACCCCCTTTCTGGCTTTTTCCTCATGTAGATCAATGGAATGTCCTTGGGATGGCCAGAGCTCTGCAGCCGAGTGTGGGCAGCCTCCACTACCCCTAATCCCAGCCATAATAATGGGGTCAAAGGGTCCCTCCCAAAGCCCTGTCTTTCAGCTTGGCATCCCACTGCTTTATTGGGCAGCCTGCATCTGGAGCCTAAGCCCCACCGAGAAGCTCCCTCCCTTGTCACAAGAGCCACCCCAGCACCCCATTCTAAGTGCCCATAAACGTGCACAAAAGCCAGTCATACATGTGGTAGCTATCTATTACAGGAGGGGCCCTCAGGAGGGGTAGTATTGATTACAAAAAGGTTGAGATTGATTTCATAGGTTCAGGTGTGGAGGGAAATTAGCATGTACTGTTGAAAGATGATGGCTGGGAGAATTAATGGGAAATAATGGTATACAAAGGGACCTTCGTGTCCTAGAACATGTTTAGAAACCTTTTTTGTCTTGCGTACACCCACGGCCCCATCAATAATGCTCAATCACCCCTTCACTGACACCAAACCAGATTAGTGTTCCTTTTAAAGAACATTATGCTGCTCAGTATCATGTTTTCAGTCTGAAGTATATATGGCAGCCCTAGTATTGAATCGTAATTCCTGTTGGGAATCTAATCAATAATAAACACACAAAAACAAAAATAGAAAAATAAAAAAAATTATGCTAGTAATGTTATAATTAACAAGACAAAAAATAAAAAATAATTTAAATATAGAAAAATAAAATCTATTTGACCACGCCTTCAGATTAACAAGATAAATTTGACCCATATTAATTTATTTATACCAAGAATCAAACAGTTGAAGGATATTTAGGTAAGAAAGAATGAGCAATTTTTAAAGCCAAGGAGCAAGACATATGGGATGAGAATAGAATATGGGATGACACAAATGACTGCAGTAAAATAAATAAATAAAAAAATCCAAAAATTAAGTACTTGTAATTATATGTTATAAAATTGTTTAAATACTCCTAATATTGATTACATATTATTCACACAATTTCAATAAATTATTCAAAATCGATTCTCCCTAATTACTCTTTGTCATCTTTTAAATGTTCCTTTCTAAAACAGTTCCTTTCTCCTGCAGCAGTATACCTTTATGGACCCCATTTTGGGAAACCTTGATGTAATGCAATGTTTAATTCATATTGTTAATTACAATTAATAGAATATATTTTATTCAATGAATAGATTATATTACCTAAAATGTGTAAACGTAACAGATTACGTTACTAACTACAACTTTTGCGATGTAATTTGGAATCAATAACAGACTACAATTTGTAAGTAATCTACCCAGCTGCATATATATATATATATATATGCTGAATATGTACTACTTTAAAGTGAATGCCCTGCCCAACCCCGCCCCCTCGTCACTTAAGCCCCGCCCTTCTAGAGTGTTCTCAGGCGGAAGCGCGCTCTAGGCTTTTTTAGTATGGACGCGTTCGCTTGATGATCTCGCGCTGTAGAATTGTAGTCCGCGCGAGCGTCATTGCCAGTGAAAATGAATGCGGATTGAAGAGGCGCGCGGAGAGAGCGTTTGTTTTGCGCTGTAAACGCGACGACGAATATGGGCATCTGAAACTCGGGAACGAGTGGAAACGAAAGGTTGAATGGTTACTTTATACCCCTCGCCAAAGTGTTACTGTAACCGGACTGAGGGAAGTTAAAGGGGCTTTTCAGCCTCACCACAGTAACAGGATCTTGAGGGACGCTGCGCTGCGTGCTAACGAGCTACATGGGACATAATTTGAATTATTTAATTGCGGCTCGCGCAAGCGCGTATTGAGAATAATCACGCGCAGATGGTAGACTAAAGCGCGTTCATGGAAAACGGACATATTTGCGCTTGGGAAGGACAAAACTGACACTGTATCGAGCGCGTTTGGCCCCTCTCGTCATGCGGCGGTGGGGGAGGATCGGAGCAGGGACCTCGCAGCGGATTTCATGTTTCGCAACAATATTAAATGCCCCATAGCGAGGGATTATAAGGCCTCAAAATGACAATTGGTATCCAAACGCGCGCTCGAGAAGTTGCGTAAAGAGTTTGTTCAGCGAATATCTATCGATAATAACCAAAGCAGACAGCCCAATTCAATCTAAACTCATTAAACGGGAATGTATATATCAAGTATCGTTGAATGCAGCATGCCAAGTCTATGATCTGCATCATTTGCTCGAATTGATCAGGGAACCATTTCGGAAGCGTTTGTGTGTCTTAACGCATCTTTATGTGTGAAGTTATTTTGTGGTCCTCTGCGCAAATGGCGTCTTTCTCAGACTCCGACCTGCAAACATGTCCGCTGTGCAAGGAGCTGTGCGGCTGCTCTGCTCCGATCTCCTCCAATTCATCTACCTCCTCCTCGTCCTCCCAGACCTCCAACTCCTCATCTACCTCATCCACCAGGAGGCTGCACGTCTTGCCCTGTTTGCACGCCTTTTGCAGGCAATGCCTGGAGGGCCACAGGAGCCCAGGTGACCCTCTGAAGCTCAGATGCCCCACATGCGACCAAAAAGTGTCTCTGTCGGAATCAGGCGTGGACGCGCTGCCTTCCTCCAACTTTCTCTTCAGCAACCTGCTGGATGTGGTGGTCTCTGCTGAGGAACAGGGCAAGAACGGTCGGCCTTCATCGGTGGTCCATCACGGTGGTCTTCTGAGACCCCATCACCTCTCAGACCCTCGGTGCAGCTCTTGTGATGAGGGCAACCCCGCTACCTCCCACTGCCTGGACTGCCAGGAGTACCTTTGCGATAACTGCGTCAGGGCCCACCAGAGGGTCCGACTCACCAAAGACCACTTCATCGAGCGTTTACACCTGGCCAACCGCACCAACAACTCCAACACCCCGATCAACATCTCCCAGTCCTTCCACAGCAGCTTCTCCATGCTGAATGTTTTCCAGGATAGGATGGACTTCTGCCAGCAGCATGATAACGCGGTGAGTTTTGTCTCCAGAGATTCATTTGTTTAGTGCATGACATGTTTCACTGTTACAATCTAGTGGTTAAATCTGAGCTGGCTGCTGAAAGGTTGTAGGTTCGAACCTCAAGCAAGACCATTACTGTTGTGTCCACACTTTCACTGCAACCGTAATAAGTGTATGTACATTACTCTGGATAAAAGCATCTGCTAAATACTAGCCTCGTTTACAGTCAAGTTGTCACAGATGCACAACTTCATTGTCAAGGATGTAACCATGTATTCATGATTTAGGGGACCATATGTAATCATTTAGGAATGGACGAATGGAAAACCCATATTGGTCGACCTCTACTCTGGGCGGATATGTCATCTTTAATTTCTATATTGGGTACTAGTCTGTTTTGGGGTGCTATAATGTGTTATAGAGATCTGCTAATGTGGATGTTGTTGTTTTTACCGCAGATAAAGAATCCCAGTATGCATGTCAATTTAATTTAATTTGTAGTTTTTAAATATCATAATTTCTGCTTTTTTTCAGTCTGTAATAAAATAATCATTTGGTGTATAACAAAATATTATGTTGTGTATTTAAAATGTTATGAACAAGTAACTTTAAATTATTGATTCAAATTATTAGTTAATTCTTTGTTTTATCATTTTTATAATTTATTTTATTTATGCTATTATATTTATTATATTATTTTCTCCTTTAAGTGATCTCAAATTTATGAGTAGGGTTTAAGGTCTTAAACATAAAATGTTTTGTACATTTTGTAATGAATAGATGCATCAGAATTTACTTATGCAAACCATGAGTCTTAAGTTCTGAAAATCACGAGTACTGAAGTTTACAATTGTGAATATAGCTGCAAACACTGATCATCTTAATGCATTGCTTCAAATGGTTCATATCTGTTTTTGATAAGTGCTTGTGTAATTTCAAGAATTCCTGACCATTCATCTGTTTGAGGGTTTTAAATAACAGGCCTTTTTCCTGTTATTTTCCTGTTGGAAGTTAGTCTCTCAGACTTTGATCTCACTGTCTTGATGCTTTCGAGGAATCAGCACTTTTTTTTTTTTTACCAGTGTTATGGATTCCAATGCAATATGCGGGGCAGCTGCGTATAGCTTCAGGCGTCCATATGTTTTCTTGATTGATGTGAGAGCTCTCACTGCTGCTTCAGAAGTTTTTTTTTATCTGGGGCATGGTGTTCTCTGTTAGGGCTGGACGATATGGCCAAAATTTATATCACTATATATTTCTTAATTTCGGTCGATACGATATAATTCCGATATCGATATGAACACTATTAAAAAAAAGCCTCATAAAAACTGCCAAGAACACCCACAACAGATGTCTGTACCTACAAACTTCTGAGTAACTTTAAATTATTGATTCAAATTATTAGTTAATTCTTTGTTTTATCATTTTTATAATTTATTTTATTTATGCTATTATATTTATTATATTATTTTCTCCTTTAAGTGATCTCAAATTTATGAGTAGGGTTTAAGGTCTTAAACATAAAATGTTTTGTACATTTTGTAATGAATAGATGCATCAGAATTTACTTATGCAAACCATGAGTCTTAAGTTCTGAAAATCACGAGTACTGAAGTTTACAATTGTGAATATAGCTGCAAACACTGATCATCTTAATGCATTGCTTCAAATGGTTCATATCTGTTTTTGATAAGTGCTTGTGTAATTTCAAGAATTCCTGACCATTCATCTGTTTGAGGGTTTTAAATAACAGGCCTTTTTCCTGTTATTTTCCTGTTGGAAGTTAGTCTCTCAGACTTTGATCTCACTGTCTTGATGCTTTCGAGGAATCAGCACTTTTTTTTTTTTTACCAGTGTTATGGATTCCAATGCAATATGCGGGGCAGCTGCGTATAGCTTCAGGCGTCCATATGTTTTCTTGATTGATGTGAGAGCTCTCACTGCTGCTTCAGAAGTTTTTTTTTATCTGGGGCATGGTGTTCTCTGTTAGGGCTGGACGATATGGCCAAAATTTATATCACTATATATTTCTTAATTTCGGTCGATACGATATAATTCCGATATCGATATGAACACTATTAAAAAAAAGCCTCATAAAAACTGCCAAGAACACCCACAACAGATGCCTGTAACTACAAACTTCTGAAAAATGAATTGTCCAAGTCTATGAAACCTCCTCCTATAAAACTATATTATAATTAAGAAAAAAAAACAGCACAAATAAATTAATGTTCACCTTATATCAAACTACAGGCTGACATACACTACCAGTCAAAAGTTTTTGAACAGTAAGATTTTTTATGTTTTTTAAAGAATTCAGATCGCAAAGAGTTTCTATATTTTTCCTATTTAAAACTTGACTCTTCTGTAGTTACATCGTGTGCTAAGACCGACGGAAAATGAAAAGTTGCGATTTTCTAGGCCGATATGGCTAGGAACTATACTCTCTTTCCGGCGTAATAATAAAGGAACTTTGCTGCCGTACCATGGGTGCAGCAGGCACAATGATATTACGCAGCGCCTGAAAATAGTCTCCAGCTAGGTAACTAACAATAAGCCTATTTTCAGGCGCTGCGTAATATAATTTCCATAAATAGGAAAAATATAGAAACTCTTTGGTCATTTTTGAGCGAGATGCTAACGGTCTAATCAGATTCAATGATCTATGCTAAGCTACAGCTAAAAGTGCTACCGCCAGACCCGGAGATCAGCTGAATGGATTCGAAAACGGTAAAACTCAACTGTTTAACTCTAGGGGAGTTGGAAAATGAGCCTATTTTCTAAAATAGTGGAGTGTTCTTTTAAAGCATCCTTGCTAAATAAACGTATTATAAATAAAATAAAATTTCAGCGCTAAATAATATTTCTATAATTTCTTTCCCCCCAAAAAAATTATACTGACTCCAAGCTTTTGAATGGAATAGTGTATAATGTTATAAAAGCTTTTTATTTCAGATAAATGCTGATCTTTGGATCTTTCTATCCATCAAAGAGTCCTGAAAAAAACTGTTTTAAATATTGATATTCAGCAAATTAGCATATTAGAATGATTTTTGAAGATTTAGTAAAAAATAGTAAAAAAATAATTCAAAACTTTACAGTTTTGCTCTACTTTGCATCAAATAAATGCAGCCTTGGTGAGCAGAAGAGAATTCTTAAAAAAAAAATAATAATTCTTACAGTTCAAAACCTTTAGACTGGTAGTGTAGGCTGATTATTCTTATAGATTGAAACAAATGTGCTTCAGCCAGGATAAAGAATATGAAAAGTGCTCTGAGTTGCTGCAGAAAACAAAAAAATTGAGCAACAACAAAAACATGTTGCTGGAGACTGACTTGTTATTGAAAATGCAAACTAATTCTCTGCCAGCAGGAGGCGCTTTTAGAGTGGTAAAACTAGCGGTTTCTCCAGTAACAACTGTAATCAAAGCAGCTGCACCATGAACGCTACTTTATCAGATAAAATAAAAATGCCATCGAAACTTTTCGGAAGACAGTCGGTTCCCTTCAGAGATACATTCATATAAAACACCCGCGCCGCATTCTGATTTTGAAACGTGTAGTGCTCATGTTTATTCAACGAAATCAAACACCACAAATAAATCAATGTTTGGGAAACACTGGTAATGTATATCGAGATATCGGAAATGTGTTTAAAAATCATATCACCGTTATTGAAAAAAATTATATCGCGATACATATTGATATTGAATTATTGTCCAGCCCTATTCTCTGTTTGAGCAATGTTGTTGCCCAGTGCTGCATGAACGTCACAGACCTATAGTATATCAAATCTCATTGTGTTTTTACCTGTGGCCTTTGCACTGTTTCATGTTGAGTTGAGTTGAGTCCTAGTGCTGTCAAAGATAATTCACTGAGAAACATACTTATTGAAAGTGTGGAGTAATTTATAATAGCTTTTTCACAGATTTAATTTAGCTAATACTAATAAAGGCATTTTCAATAAAGGTAGGCTATAATAGTGATGTGTAAAACATTTTATATAATAAAGACATGCTTTAAACAAAACAGGACTCACGTGTATACTCTTACATAATATAGTTTATTAATTTAACAGTCAGTATTATATATATTTCACATGTATATAGTTTTAATAACAATTTAACCATCAGTAATTTTCTTTAACAAAACATGCCTTTATTATTATTATTAAATATGCAATGTTTCTCATCGAAAATATTTCATTATGTAGCTTTTTTTTTTTTTTTTTTTTACATTTTCTTTCAGATTTGTCTGCAAAATAAACCTACATAAATTCCTTACATACTTGCACATTTTGTCCATGTGCAGGGAGTTTTTAATAGTACATTGGGCGTGTTAATTTCTGAATGCAGAACGTGTTGTCATGCTAGTGGTATCAGCTGTTCGCTGTGAGGGCTCATCCTGCATACCTCACATATAGTCCACAATGCACTGCACTGGAGCAGCCAGAAACACACTACACCATCTATCAGCCTCCATACTGGCATGCACACAGGAGGACTCTGGTTTCACCAAGCCCTCATGTTTTTCAGAGCTACTGTCATTAACAGCATAGCGTATGCGTGTTCCACTGACATTATGAACAAATTAACTTGTGATTTAATGTCTAACTGGTGACTAATAAGATGACAATTCATTGTTATATTAGTAGCCTTCTGAGCATAAAGTGAGCTCAGTGAATAATTTCCAGAAGTATATTCTCCTAGGACAAATTATTGAACTGTACATTTTAGATTTAAGCTATAGATTTATGTCATGTTGCTGGCTTCATAGATGCTTAGGTTCTGTGTTTTATGGAAGAACAATGAAGAGAAGTGTGTGTGTGTGTGTGGTGGATAAATATGAAATGATTTCTATAGAGAGTGGAGTTGAACCTCAGTAGGGGGGAAACGGGAAGCTCTTGCTTTTGGAGGCTGTGTCTGTGGAATGCTATGACATCAGTTCCCAGAAGCCACCTGGGAGACCAGTGGGATTCTCAATCATTGTCTACATCTCTATCTGGTTGGGTTG